GGAAAAAAAAAAAAAAAAAAAAGAAAAGAAGCCTGCATAGTTTGCAAAGTGGGGAAGGGAGGGCTGGGACGTTTGTCATCAGAGGACCCTCCTCCAAACACAACCTGCAGGAGGGCGCAGGCTGACCCGCGGGGGGGTTGTGCCCTTTGGAGGCAAGCGAGCCTGAAATGAAAACAGTTGTTTGAAAAACAATTCATTTAATTCATTTGAACGTTTTCTCGGTTGTTGTAGTTCAAAGAAAATTGCAGACTTGGGGGTTTGGGTTGTCAGAGTTTCTCAGTAACTTCTGGAAGGCGTTTCCAAGCGGCTGTTGGTGGTTCCCGGTTTCGGGAGGAAGGCGGCGGTGCTCGGGGCGGGGAGGGGCAGCGCGCCCTCAGTCTCCGCGGGGTGGGGGTGCTCGCGGGGGCTCCCCCTGCAGTGCCAGCGCGGCCCGTGCACGGGCAGCCCGAGGCGCAATAGGGCGACTGTTGGCTGCGCTGCACCCGGGTTGTCATGCTGCTGCCTTGGTCCCTCCCGGGGTGGTTCCAGGCATCTTCCCAGGTCCGACGGAGAGGGAGGACGGGTCTCTTGGTCCTCTTGTGCCTGGGGGGCTTCTGCTGCGGCACAGGAATACACACAGAGTTCCCAGAGGAGCTGCCCTAACACGTGCCGATCACTCGGTCCTGTGCCCTAAGCTGGGCTGTAAAAATAAACAGGGAGTTCACGGTGCGTGTACCGGGAGGGGAATGTTTGCTGTTGTTGGCCAACAGCGAGTCAAGATGGCTCGTGCTGAGTGTTCGCCCACCCGCGGAGGAAGCGACCGGTTGTGTCTGTGCTGTGGCAGGGCCTGGCCCCGGGTGCAGGTCGGAGAGAAGCGCTTCCCCTTGAGCGTAGGCTGCGTCCGTGCGACGAGCTCTCGGCAGCCCAGAGCCTCTGCGCTGCGGGTGGGACCCTCCCGGCAACGCTTGGAGGAATGGGGCCACGTCCTCTTGGTGCCGGTAACGGCTCCGTGCCCGAGGAACAGCCCCGCCGTGAGCCTGGCCCCGCGCCGTGCGCCACCGCGGCGTGGGTCTGCCTGGAGTCGCTGGCTTTGGGGGACTCAGCCCCGTCAGTGAGATATGGGACAGCACCGCATTGAGTGTAATTTTAGAAAGGAAATGAAGCAACAAAATGCATTAAAATATCATTAGGGAATTGAATGGAACCAGATACTCTGGGAGACATTTAAGTTCAGCCTTCGTGGTACTTTTCCTTATCTCATTACGTGATACTGGAAGTGAAAGTGTCAAAGTCTTGATTTGGCATTTTCTCCGGGTTGGGTTTTTTTTGGCTTTTCTGAACTTACAATTAATTGCACATTCATTTTTATGATACCTACACGTGTACTTTTAAAATCTGCACCGATGGAATCTGTTCCAGCCTCTGCTGTTACGATGGGAGAATTTTTTGCACCCAATTATGTTAAAAATCAGCCATATATATGTATGCTGTCGCATCTCCAGTAATCCTTACATTTCTATCGAGTGCGAGTATTAATTGCATAGTATGCAGTGAAGTGATTAACATCAATGTAATTTATCATCTGGAGATTTCTAAAAACGAATAAATGAGTTGTTTTGTTCAGTGAGGTGTTGACCCTTCAGAAACTTTGATTTAAAGCTTTTTTTTCTTTTCTTTTAGTTAATATGAAAAGCACCACAATCAGCCAAGTGTTCAGTTATTTGATTTTCTGGGGCATTAGCCACTCTTGTTTGTGACATTTCCCAGTTGGGTGCTCGTTTGCAAGCTCATTAATAAGGTTTTCTGGGAGGGTTGTTGGTGGGAGCGGGGAGCACACGCTACGGCCCAGACTCTGCCTTTCGCCAAGCACTCAGCAGCGGCGTGTGCTTAAATATTGGCAGGGGAAATGTTTGTGCCCTCTGTCCCCGTCCGGCTTGGGCTCTGGCTCCTCCTGCTCCAAGCTAAGACTTTACCTTCCTTTAGTCGAGGGTGAATTTTGCAAAGTCGCGCTGGGGGTCACAAGGCTCTTCCAGACAAGTTATGAACTGCCAGTCATGTGTTTATTTGTGATTTTAAACTCGGAATCTATTTATTTAATAGATTTCTGTATTTTGCCTGAAAATCGGCACTGCAGACTGTTGTCCTTGCCAGAGGTGAGGAGGAGATACCGGCCTGCCGGGTCTGGGCTGTCTCTGACGCAGACTTCATTTCCTGATAAGCAAACCCGCCTGATTTCGGGATAAAGGCGACAATTGTATTTACACCTGCGTATCAGGGTTAACTTCACTGGCTCCTTTAATATTGGTGAACATGCTCCCCCTGCTCTTCCCTTGGCGCGCCAGCCTGGTGAGATGCAGAAAGTGCCAGAAGTCGGGAGGTTTTGGTAGTTTGTTGGGGCCACAGGACAAAGCGGAGACGAGGAGCTGGATAGAACGGCGCCCGTCTGGAGACAGACGCGGGGAGTTCCCGGGGGGATTGTGCAGCTGGAGCTGAGCTGCCGAGGGGGGCCGCAGCGCGGTGGGACGGCGCAGCTCCGCGAGCCCCAGCCCGCTCTCGGGAGCTTGTCCTCCTCGTTCCTATTTCCGTAGGGTTTCCCCCCAAAGCACTGTGCATGGGCGGAAGGCTTCTGGCTGTCTCCCGAGCCCAGCTGGGAGCACGCCGGCCGGGAGGGGCTGGCTGGCTTGTTGCTGGTGGTGGTTGGCGCGGGCGAGGAGGCACCTGGCCTTCGGAAGAGAAGCAGCGTTTCCCAGAATGTTTTTACGGCGTTATTAATGAGTGCTGGGGCGCAGGCTCCGTGCTCGGAGCGGACAGATTGCTGCATCGTAGGAGCCCTGTCGCTTGCGCAGAGATTGCCGGAGGAGCAGGAGCTGCGGCGCTGTGATGACTCAACTCTGGCACGACTGGCGCGGCCCCAAAGATCGCGTACGTCCAGCGCGGCGCGGGGCTCCGCACCAGCCTCTTGCCGCTCTTGTGCACAACGAAATCGCTGGACGGGAGCAGTGAAACCGCTGGATCCGAGGCCGACCCGGCCGCAGCATCGCGGGCCCCTGGGCACACGAGGAGGTCGGGCCTGCGGATCCCGCTGGTGAGGGGCTTTGGGGCGGCGGGCTCGTCTGCCTCGGAGATCAGAGCTTGGCCTGATGAAAGGAAATAGGTAGAAGTAATAGGCTTAGGCTTTTGTAAGGCACTGAACTGGGTATAACGTTTTATCTTGGCTGATTAATGAGATCTAAGCATTATCGATGGAGCGCACATTTAAATGGATTAAGAAATCACTAACTGGCAGATCTCAAAGGACAGTCATTAGGAAGTAATCAGCAAACGATGGTATTTTTAGAGCGAATGCACTGGCCTGGGTGCTTGGCCTGATGCTGTTCAATGCTCCCACAAAGCATTTGAAGTTCTTAAAAAGTCACTGTTAATAATCTTTGCTGATGGCGCAGAAGCTGGGCGAGCAGCTCAGAGGAGGAAGAACTGGGACAAGCGCAGAAGCGCTCGAGCGTTTTGTCACTTCAGAGCCGCGGGCGGGTGCAGCCTGGGCTGGGGCCGCAGCGCCGAGGGGGGACGTGTCAGCTGGAGGCTGGCGAAGGGAAAACGCCGTCGCTTCGGGGGCGGGGGCAGGAGCATTAGCCTGCACACCGTGCGCCTGTTGTAAAAGAAATCTCATCAAATGCGGAATGGGTTTGTAATAAGTTTTTCAAATTGGTTGCTGCTACAGCGTAACCTTTAGACTACTGGTATTTAACCTTGTATATCACTCTTAGCTTTTGAATGAATTTAGCTTAATAAAGGTGCCTTATTAAATTACTAGGCTGTTTTTTTAAGCTGCTAGAAATGAGTGTACTAGGAAATAGCTTTGGGTTGTTAGATCTAATTGGCTGCCAGTGGAGTATGTAGCGCCTCAGATGCACAGACGCAAGCGTTTCTGTAGTAACCCTGCGCTAGGATATTTCGGTTCCAAGTCGAGGATTTCGGGCTGCTGGGACGCACTTGGGAAAAACTCCGCTGCTTCTCACCTGACGTCCCAGGTCACCCTCCGAGATAGTCACGGCCGCAGACGCCAGCACTAGAACGTGGCCTTTTGATCAAGGGGCTGGTAGGTGACAAGCTGCTGGTTGAGAAAACCGTCACGACTTGAGCAGCGTAGGCTACTAACGTCACCGTCCCGTGCAGGGGCTGAGCTCGGGATCCCGTGGAGCTCGGCACTTCCCAAAGCTTTGCTGCCAGAGTCCTTAATCGGAAGAAAATAAACTGACTTGGGCAGAGGAGCAATAGGAGCAGAACTGACACTTACCTAAAGGCACGTGCTTAGAAACAGGAAGAAAAGACCCCACCTCGAGATTTTTGGTTAAAGCGGGTGAAATGCTTTTTGTGTGCCATGAGCCTGGTGAAATTTCTAATGAAAACGGGACGGGCGCAATAGGCCGCGGAAGATGTTGCGCAGAGCTTGCGCAGCGCAGGGAGCTGCTGTCCTTGTGCTGCCCTGAGCGGGGCTGAGGAGGGTTTTCTGCTCGTTCCACGGCGCGGCGGGCGGCAGCAGCCGCCTTTCTGGCGTGGGCTCCTGGGTACTGCCGCAAAGCAAATAATAAATAGTGAGCAGATGGCCGGGGGGGTGGGAGTTATGAATGAGAGCGCCGAGCATCGTGAGCACAACGTTTCAGCTGCTGCGTGTGAGTTACTTGCTGCCTAACACTCGGTGTAACTCGTCCTCCTGCGGCCCCGCGCTGCGCAGGCGCTGGCGGAGCAGACCCGGCTCCTGCACCTCCGAGAGGGACCTTCGTGCCCTCCGCCCGCACCCGGAACGTGCCGCTGTCCCCCACGTCCGTCTGTCGCAGGGGCGAAGCGTTACGTGTGTCCGGCCTGGCGAAGTCGCCCGCGTTTCCCGTGGGATTGGGGCTCGGCCCCTCGGACGCCCCGAAGCCTCCGTCAGCCTGCGGAGACGCCCGAGTCTCGTGGCTGCGAGGAGCATCTGGAAGGGGGATTAGGTTATAAAATGTTTGTGGTACAGTCATCTCAGGAGAGGATTTACTCGTGTAGCTTATTCCATTACTGAAAATTATGAGAGTTTAAATTGGTTAAATCCTGACACAGATTTTTTTTATTTCTAATCTCTATTATTCCATAGGAGGCATGTTAATGAGTTAAACACAGTTAATAAAATGCAGCAAGCCAATATTTTTGGTAGCAGTTACTCTCCAAGGAAATAGAAACATTTAAATGGTTTCAACCTTTATGCATACTGATTTTTTGCCTTCCTTTGTTCCTTACAGTTGAGTAAATTCCTGAAAAATATATATGGCTTAATGGCATTTGTAGCACTGAATTGATTTCTTGCACTGATAACATTTTAGCCACAGCTTAGTCTGCATTTTTAATCTGTGGTTCGGTTGTAGGAGGTAATGAATTTTTTAATTGTGGACTCTAGGTTTGCAGTGTGGCTTTTTTTTTTTTCCTGCAGGGTCTTACTAAAGTGTTTCTGAGTTGGCTCCCTAACTATAAATGCTTTAATTCTCTGTGTTTATTTTAGGATTTAGATGAGCTTCGTTTGGACGAAATAAAACCTTCTGTTGTTTAAACAATAACAGCAGTGGCTGTGACTTCTTTTGTGTCTCTAACAAGCATCTCTTGTAAAGCCCGGCGTATTAATATGCGTGGACGCCAAGTGTTGTCATACAGTAATATATGACACACGATAAAACCTATCAATTCCCAGCGCCGCAGATATCTCTGGTTTCACCTCAGCGCGAAGGCAAATGAGTTCCTCTTAGCTTGAGCGAGTTCAGAGATAAACTCCAGTGCAGCAAAACGTGTTTCCCGGAGACGGGTGGTGCTCCGGTCGGAGGCCGAGGTGCCGGTGGCTCCCCCTTTTCCTGCTGCTCCCCCTTTTCTTGTCCCCGCCAGTGAGGCTGATGGCACGGGCCGAGGACGGGCCGTGGCCGTCGTCGCTTCTCACGTCAGACGCGCGCAAATCCCGTCGGGCCTGACCCCACGATTTACCAGGTGTGTTTTTGCCCCGCAGATAAGCCTCAGGTGCGGGTGTCTCAGAACTACCCGGTGCAAGGCCTGACGAGAGAAGGGGAGCCGCTGGAGCTGACGTGCGCAGCGTTTGGAAAGCCACAGTAAGTTGGAGCCTTCCCCGGGCCGGAGCGGGGCGCCCGGCGGCGGCGGGGTCGCGCGGCAGAAGCCCGCGGGCGTTGTTCGGCCTCTGCTGCCGTTGCAGACGCTCAAAGGGCCACTCTCCGCTGCGGGGACGGCGCAGCAGCGCGAGGGAGAGACGCTTTCTGCACCCGAGCTTCTGCCGCACCG